TTTGCTGGGGGAGGCACATGGGGGGGAGGGAGGGATGACACACAGATGTACACCTGGGGGCCTGACCCCCCGGTATCCGGCAGTTGCTCAGTCTGAGCTGATCTCTCCCCCCCCCACCCGTGTGCCTGCAGGGATGGGTGGGGAGGGTCACCCGCCGCCTTCCCTTGCCTGCAGCAGCATCACCAAGGCCAGCTCGCCCCCGCCCCAGGCAGCTCCCCAGTGGTGCCCGCCTCCCCCCGCCCGGCTGGCTCCAAGCGAGCAGCAGTGAGTTCCACAGGTCAGCTACACAGGGTAATTCTCCATCATGCCCGGGGGCGAGGAACCTCTTCAGCAGGGGTCACCCTGGCCAGGGGGCAGATCAGGGGCATGGCTGGAGCATACTCCACTGTGGATATTTCCTGCCCCCGTAGGGGGAAGACCGGGCTGTGGCCATTCCCTGCCCCCCAGGGGGTAAGTATGAACAGGTGCAGCCCTACAGCCGCTGTAGCTGATCCCAGGGGCCAGGCCTGTGATCCACACGTGACCCGCTGGGGCTGCCCAGGGGAACTGGCTTCCCTGAGGGAAGAGGAACCCGGCCTGGGCCAGGTATTTTCTGCCTGGCCCCAGCGCCCGGGTGGCTGCCAGTCACCTGAGCAGCACCCACTCCGGCGGGATTCCCCAGGGGAAGCTGGGCGGGACCGAAAGCCCCGCAAGGGCTGGGAAAGGAACCGAAAGTGGGGAGGGAAAGGGAGTCGCCTGCAGGGACCAGGGCCCCGCGCTCCCCCGCCCGGCCAGTGACCGGCCCCTGATGGCAAACCCCTGGGGAAGGTCCCAGACACCAGCAGGGGCGGGGCTGGCAGGGGGACAGGCCAGCTCAACAGGGCCCCCAGGGCTCCAAGTGTCCTGCTGTGGGGCGCCAAAGCAGCCAGAAGACACTGACTCATGCCCGAGGCAGGTAAACTGAGGCACAGAGCGGCAAAGTAACTCACCAGGCAGGCAGCTGGGAGCACAGGCCAGGTCCAGCAAACCCAGCTCTGACACCTAGAAAACACTCCCAGGCCCAGCCAGAAAAAAACCCGACCCCAGGCTCTCACCTGCACAGGGGGGTTTGCCAGCCGGCGGCTTGACGCGGGACTCAATGAACACCTGCTGGCCCTGGCTCTTCACCATGTGCACATCTTTGCAGAACTGCTGGAAGGTCATCTGAGGACAGGAAGGGAGGGCTTAGGGTAGTGGAAAGGGGTCCCCTACTCCCAGTCTCCCCCACCCTCTGCTCTAACCACTAGCCCCCATTCTTCTCCCAGAACCAGGAGAGAACCCATGACTCCAGGCTCCCCCTCCCCACCCGAGCTCTAACCACTAGTCCCCACTCCCTTCCCCAGAGGCAGGCTCAGAGAGCCCAGGAGTCCTGGGGAGCATGGTTGGATTTGCTCACCAGTGCCGTGGCCTGTGCTGCCCCCTGCTGGACCCCAGCAGTGCCACCAACCGGCCAGTAGTCCCAAAGGCCTGAGGGCAGTGCTGGGGGCTTCACGAATAGGGGCAAGGCAGGGGTTTAACTACGAGACTGCACTCCCCGCACAGAACCCTGGCGAGAACCCCGGAGTCCCGGCTCACA